TCTTGATGATTTAACATGAAAGATCCGGTAATTTAAAGCGCTAAATTCTCCAACAGGTACAACTTTATAAACTATTTGCTTAAACTCTCTTGTTCTACTTACATCCGTGCAAAACAATTTTGAAAATGAAACCGTGCGGAATATGGCTGCTTGCAGGTTATCAATGGAGGTCTCAAATGAACACGTTGAAAGAGAAAAATTGTATGCTCCCCACATACGTCATCTTGTGGTCGATGTGAGAAGCAAACAAAGTCGGGGTTAAGATTTGGAGCAGAACAAAAGGTAGCAGCATTAAGCGTGTGTTTGTAATGCAATACTGAAGATATTGGAGAATACTATGAAGAAGATTTCAACTTTTACTTTAGTATTGTCCAGGTATAATCAAATCTACCATACCAAACATGCCATAAAAGGCAATTAAATGAAAAAAGCATGGTTGTTCCCTCATACAAGCTCAAAACATTCTCAGGCAGCATGTGAAATCCTGCTGTCACTCCTGGTGTTCTGGAATATTATTGGACTTGATACTGATGACCCGGTGAAAGACAACGATGAAACTAGTTGTGGAGAGCTAAGTGATACTTGACTACCTTAAAGAACATTGTTTAGTGATTTATTGTGAGGATATTTCCTTAATTTAGTCTGGAGCTGTTGAATCACCTTGCTGGATATATTGCCAGGTGACTGGTAGTCTCGTACTGTATTGAACTGAAAATCTTCCTCATTTGCTTGTGTATATATTTGTATATATAATCATGCTGTCCAAATATCATGCCTGATATCTAATAAATTTCTCCAAAAAATGTTGTTGGATTTCGGTCCATTTGGGAGTTATTAAGATGGGCTGTACCGTTCAAGTCCAACACTTGTCGAGTCTGATTCCTACCGCTTGTGGCCCACATGGGTTGGCCCGGAAAAACCCAATTTGTAATCAGAGTTGGCTAGCCATGCTCCGAACTAGTTTGAGTTATCGATAACTAAAACTTATCTTAGTGAAGTTGGATATAAAAGCATCATTAGAGATTAACTGGGCAATAAAAAAAAAAAAATTAAAAAGGATTTTCTTGTTCCTTTTTAAAAATCGAGGATTAACTTGATACCTAAACAATATGAATGCGACTGACTCTACAATTTTCTCTAATTCTTGTGAGTTGGGATCCATTTCTACTTGCTTTACTAACGTGACGGCTACTGCTTGCATCAGAGAAATAATTTATTTTTGCATCATTTGAATTCTTTTGGCATAGTGCACGAAACATTTATTGCTCAATTCTAAATAATTCAGTGAGTCAATGATGCACACGCAATTCAGAACATCACTTATCGCAAATTGTGGATTTCTAGGCACATGGGTTTCACCCAAATTAATATTATATTGTATTTTGTACAACGTCAAGAAGTTAAATTACTCCACATTCCATTTATGAACATTTTTTAGAGTGATTTTGAGAATTAATTTTTTGATCGTTAGGAGAAAAGTGGGGCCCACTTGTGAGAGAAGAAGTCAAACACGACGGTTGAAATGGTGAAATAACGGTAAAAAAATCACTCTCAAACAAACTGTATATAAGATGATTTTCTTAATTTTTTATCCTAATTATATAGTTACATTTCTTTGTTGAGAATATTTTATTTTGTTTGTTTACTAATTTAAACCTGATTAAGTTTTATAATTTTTTTAAGATATAGTTTTTTTCCTCAAAAATAAAATAATTTCTTTATATTTAATTTATTTATGACATCATTTTAATTTTGATTACTTTTCAACTTTAGACCCTTGATTTTTTTTCATTTCAATGCATAAGGCCATTTTAAAAATATTAATTACAAGGGCCGGTTTATAGTAGATAAACACAATATTATTATAGCTTTCTATCAATGCCCAGTTCGTCCATTGTTTTAAGCTACTTGATTATTATGCATTATTGTACCTCGAATAATTCAAATCAATTAATAAAATATTATTAATCTTCGATAAAAAAACACACTTTTCGTTGTCTGGTGTTTGAGCCCTTCACAAAAGTTCCATTTAGCATAACTTTTATTTCTACTTTTACTTCTTTTTGAAGATTTTGTGAAGAAATTTACCTTCAATTTTTGTTTAGAAATTAATTTTTAAAAGTACTTTCTATTATGTAAGTTCTTTTAGAAGAAATCATATCGAAACAACTTTCTCTAAAAATCCTTTTAACTACCTAAAATATTTTTATAAAATTAGTTAAACGGATCTAAAAGTTACTTTTGGACCTCAACAACTCATTTTGACTTTTCAAAATACGAGGGTTTCTAGGCAAGGAGTATTTAGGGATATTAATACCCCCACAAATTTAAATTTTATTTTCTTGTACTTTATATTTCAGTCACAAAGCAATTTTTACTTTTGGGTGTCATTATGATTATAATCCCACTTTGGAATGAGAAGTGATAAGGACTAAACGTTACCTTTTCATTTTCTATTTTCTATATTCTATCATTTTCTATTTTAAATCTTTTTAAAGTAATATTATCTAAGTATTTTAATATTTAATACATGAAAATTGCCCCCATCCTTTATTTGATCAGCATAGATCCTCCATTTTTTTATAGGTATATGTTTTCCTTTTTCGTGCAAGAGAGCGGCATTTCAGTGAAGAAGAGTCTCTCTCTCTCTCTCCCCCCATTATTTAAGTAGTACGCAAGTGATCCAAGAGAGTGACCAAAGTAGAGTGAAGAAGGGAGAAAGCATGGGTTGCAGAGGTCTCTTTTTCCTAGTGATTTTCTCTCTTTCAGGCTTGTCTGGTTTTCTAGCAGAAAATGAGGAACCAGCAGGGCTTGTAATGAACTATTACAAAGACACTTGCCCACAAGCTGAAGACATCATTAAAGAACAAGTCAAGCTTCTTTACAAACGCCACAAGAACACTGCTTTTTCTTGGCTCAGAAACATCTTCCATGACTGCTTTGTCGAGGTCCAAATTCATATAAATCTCTCTTCTTTGCCCCTTCTTTTTTTTTTTTTTATCGGTGCTGAAATCTCCCAAATTGCAAATTTTTTTTTTTTTTTTTTTTTTTTTTTTTCGCTTTCTAGTTTTGAGGGCTTTATTCATAACTTTTATATTTCACATATGTGGTGATGCAGTCATGTGATGCATCTCTACTGCTGGACTCGACAAGGAGGGTTCTGTCTGAGAAGGAGACTGATAGGAGCTTCGGAATGAGAAACTTTAGATACATTGAAACTATAAAGGAGGCTTTAGAGAGGGAGTGCCCTGGAGTTGTCTCCTGTTCAGATATTCTTGTCTTGTCTGCAAGAGATGGAATCGTTTCGGTAACTTCATATTTCCTTTCACTTCACCCCTCCAAAACTCACACTATTCTGTGTCGTTCCATCCTTTTTTATTTTTGAACTATAAAGTTGGTTTGTTTTTAAGTGTCTGTTTGTGGGTTCTGATCAGATTTATGAGTAGAATTGCAAGACAAAATAGAATAATAATTTTTTGGAATTTGTATTTGTTCTATTTTAAAGGTTGGAGGGCCATACATTCCTCTTAAAACTGGAAGAAGAGATGGTAGAAAAAGCAGAGCAGATATACTTGAGCAATACCTTCCAGATCACAATGAAAGCATGAGTGTTGTTCTTGAGCGGTTTGCCAACATTGGAATCGACGCCCCTGGAGTTGTTGCTTTACTAGGTATAAATCCAGAGTTATGAAAATTTTGCACGTGTTGACCTCCGATGAAAATTTTAGTTTTGCATGTGAGGGGCTTGTTGAGGGCTAAACAAATTAAGAATGGAAAGAAGTAAAGAAATGTCCTAACACAGCTCCATTTGCTCTTACAGGTGCTCACAGCGTGGGTCGAACCCACTGTGTCAAGTTGGTTCACCGTTTGTATCCAGAGGTGGATCCTGCCCTAAACCCCCACCACGTTGAGCACATGCTCCACAAGTGCCCCGATGCAATCCCCGACCCTAAGGCTGTCCAATACGTGAGGAATGACCGTGGCACGCCTATGAAACTAGACAACAATTACTATAGGAACATATTGGATAACAAGGGCTTGTTGATTGTGGATCATCAACTAGCCACAGACAAGAGGACCAAGCCATTTGTTAAGAAAATGGCAAAGAGCCAAGACTATTTCTTCAAGGAGTTTTCTCGTGCCATCACTATTCTCTCTGAGAACAACCCTCTCACAGGCACACTAGGGGAAATCCGAAAGCAATGCAATCTTGCCAACAAGAACCACTAGAAGGTTTTTCACTGCAATTGTACTTATAGCTGATCCCAAGTTTGCTGGGAACGAGCTTAGTTTGTTGTTGCTGTACTTTGGCTCATCACTTTTGTTCTTTGTACTAATGAATGAGAACAGAGTGAGGGAGACAAAAATAAGATGGTTTACTCATCAGTTGGTGTGTGTTTTTCGTACAATTATTACCAGTTCTGTAGAAGGGCTAGACTTTGAGCATGGCCATGTTAATGGTGAGTGTTGGGGTAAGGATGGATGGTGGTGATGGTGTATGATGAATGTTTGTTGAATATAGAAGGCATGACTAGTTCACATAATGCCCTCAATTACATTTGTCACTTTACTGCGATTACTCAATGATTATTTTTCTTGATCGTCGATGCATGAAGGATCTTTTCGCATAAAAGAAATCAAGAAATGTCCCAATTACCATTTTGTTTCACACATTCACTTCAGTTAATTTGGGGAAACGGACGCAAGGAGTAATTGAGCATGGTTTACAAAGTTGAAGGATGAAATCGGAACAAAAATTGACCAACCGAAAAAAGCGACACAAGAAAGAAAATCCCACAAGGGCCCTTAAATAAAGAGAGATTGAAGTGCAGAATTTTCAAGGGTATAAAAATAGTAGAGATTCCCTTACACAACCAAATATAATTTTATACATATAAATAAATGTCATTTTGTGGACAAGTGTGTGATTGTGACACAGAAATAAATGCTTGCTGTTGAAATCAATACATAGATATTACCCGAAAACAGATGCCCAAATCTGATGCAATAAATTACTTTAATTAGCAGAGAAATATTTTAATAATTTGAGGTGCCTTGGACTTCCAAATGGATTGCCAAACTACACGTGTCTTCGATATTTAAGAGGGGATAAGAGATTTTAACGTCTGTTTCTTCATTAGAACGGTCTTGTAGCCTACCTTTCAACTCAACAAACATGTCATAAACGTACATTACACAATATGGAAGTGAGTATGCAAAAACACATCAACAGCAAGCAATCTGAACTAAAAGCTCTCACAAACTCAAACTCCAACTTATCTCCTTTTGATGAAGAGATCGAATGGTTCGTGTTCCTCGGACCTCTTCTTGAGATTTCAATATCTCAGCAGAATTCTCTCATCAATCCGAAAATTGAAAAGATACTCCCCTAGAGGCTAAAAGAGCTTCCCCTGAAGTTGAGTTCCGCTTCTCATCATTGTACAGAACTCCTCATAATTGATTCTCCCATCCTATAAAATGCAACATTTGTAAAGTCGCAATAGTATATGAATGACCCGAACTGTAAATCGAGCATACTTACGTTATCTGTATCCACCTCTGAAATTATTTCCTTGATCGTTGATTCATCGCCCATACCATACTCCTTCATAGCATTTTCCAGTTCATCTCTTGTGATGTAGCTGAAACGACATTAACAGTAAAGAAAACCTAATTACGAATAAAGCGAATGAGGATTAGCTGACGACAAATATTTGGACACGGTCACGTCTTACCCACTGTTATCCTTGTCAAAATACTGAAAAGCTTTGTACAGATGCTCATCTCTTTCGAGCTTATGCCTGTGCATTGTAGCGGTAATAAATTCAATGTAATCGATTGTCCCGTTGCCATCCACATCAGCCTGAAGAATAAATGGTTAAAGCTGAGGAAGCAGTCGATAAATAATGGTCGAATTAATTTTTATTCAATCATTAAGTGAAACTCACAGCTTCCATGAGTTGCTTCACTTCAACTTCCGATAGTTTTGAGCCTAGTCGAGTCAATCCAGATTTCAGTTCGTCATAAGTGATTGTGCCACTCTTATCTGTGTCCATATTTGTGAACATTGCTTTAAGGCCTTGAATTTCTTCCTCGGATAAGTTTTGCGCAATGACCTGAACAAGTGGCCAAACGCAATAAAGGATGGTGAACATCTTACTTACTATCGTGTATGTTACACATTAACTAAACAATAAGTTACCTTTAGTGCAAGTTTCTTGAGCTTATTCATCGCCCTGAACTGCTTCATTCTGGAAAGCACAGCATTATCTATTGGCTTGTCGGGTGCTTGTCCTTTAACCCAAGGGTGCTCTTTACAACATAAAGAATAAGAGAATTTTAAGTTCAGTCACAATATCGTGAAATAATAGTAAAAAAGCTAGCATGCAAAAGCGAACATAGATACCGTCAAGGCTATACTAATTAGTTCTCAAGTAAAAATCCTTAAAAATCCTTTTTAAGGTGGAAACCACAAATTGAGGGTACTTGATAAGATTAACTAATGTAATCAAGAACACAACTTCTGAAATATAGTTCAGTAAGAAACTTATTTGACATAATAAACTGGTTTCTAGATTTGAAATAAACCATCGAAGGCATGTGTGATGAGAGAATTTATACCTTCTATGTTTTAGAATAGATGAATGTTAGGCATCAAGCCCTAGTCCCTATCCCGAGAGCAAAAATGCACAAAACTTAAAACAGTAACATACAAATGCAAATATAAGTATAAAATGGCCCATTCTTAATGTGAGAGCTATGTCCACTAGCCATGCAGATTTTCCAAGAGATTATAATATTTTCCTTATACCTCTCTGTCTTATCTCAGAGAAATATGGCCCCCACAGATTCCTTATATAATGTAGGAATCAAGATCGATCCGAGGACAAAGGGATAAGTGAACATCATAAGTAGGCTCCATAGAGTCCAATATTAGGATGGTTTCGCCAAACAAAGCAAAAAGAAAATAGATCTTCTTGTGCAAAAGAAGTTCGTTACAATATGATGATTTAATGGGAACATTACCTAGTACTTCTGCTGGAGTAATTCTCTTTTTTGGATCCTTTGTCAGCATCTTTTGAACAAGATCTTTGGCACTATTAGATATGGAGGGCCATGGCTGGCCAACAAAGTCAACTTCTTCTTTCAGTATAGCGTTAAATATCCCCTTTTCAGTTTCTGCGTCAAAATTAGTGTTTAACAAGAGAATTGCAGAAGAAATTACGCTCGTTAATTCGTCTTACCAGCCCAAAATGGAGGCACTCCACTGAGTAGGATGTACAAAATAACACCTGCACTCCATACGTCTATTTCCTTTCCATAACTTCTCTTCAACACTTCAGGAGCCACATAATAAGCACTACCAACTATATCACGGTACACCTTCCCTGAGAATGGAAACAGGACATTTATTGTTTAAACAGAATACAAAATTGACTATCATAAATATGACAATACTGAAATGTCTTGACAAACTTATCATTAAATGGTGTCGAAGCTTCAAGAGAACTTAAACCCGAATGTGCAAAAACTTCTCTAAACCAATTATGAAATATGGAAATATCTTGATTTTCATCAATTTGGGCAAAAAAAACGTTGTCCGAGTCAAATTGTTTCGATATCTAAAACTCCATATAAACCCCATGTCTATGCCATTACCATGTATGAGAACGCATCAACTTGAATTACGAGTTGAACAACTTCAGTAACAGGTTGCCTCGGCAAGTACGAATTGTTGGAGAGATCAAAATGAAAAGTAAGCACCATAATGACCGGACAATGACCCCCCCCCCCACCCGCCCCCCCCCCCCCCCTCCACGCCTTTTCTCTCTCCATGCTTAAGGAGCCTCAATAACAGCAGTAATAGCAACAATATCCCAATCTTACAGCTTTTGAACTGAATATGTCCAACCGGAGTAGAAAATAAACTGTAGCAGTCCTATTATGTAAATGGATAACAAGAAGTGGTTATAACTTATAACCACAAGTTTCTACATTGATGGCAAATAGTACAACAAACATTATGCATATGCTCCATAATTTAAAATTTATTCTCAGTAATAGAAAAACTCGAATTTATACTTACCCTCTTCTATAAAAACAGATAGCCCAAAATCTATTGCTTTTAACATTGAACTCGGGTCCTTACTAGCGAGCAAAAAATTCTCCGGCTTGAGATCCCTATGCAACACCCCCATAAAATGGCAATGGTGAACAACATTCACAATCTGCCTACAAAGATCAGCAGCAGCTTTTTCAGAATAATGTCCCTGAGCAATAATCCTATCAAAAAGCTCCCCACCAGCACAAAGTTCCATTACAAGATGCACAGAATGCCTATCCTCATAAGCACCCTTGAATTCGACAATATTCGGCTGCCCACTCAAATGCTGCATTATATGAACCTCCCTTTTCATATCCGCTTTATCATTCTTACTCACAAGCTTCCTCTTCAGTATAGATTTGCAGGCATAGGTGTGGCCAGTTTCATTCTCAGTACAAAGACAAGTTACCCCAAACTGTCCCCTCCCTAATTCTTTCCCGAGAGTATATTTTGATCTCACATCCTCAAAGGGCTTTCCTAAAATGTTATTGGGTTCTAATCTATGAACTGGATTCTGGGGTTGTGGGGATGTAAGGTTCAGAGGAGGCGGTGGTTTCTGCGGTGGTGGCTGGTGGTGCCGTTCAGGTTCAGGCTGAGGACTGAACTGAGTTGATGGGTTTTGAGCATTTTGATGGATTTGTTCATACCCAGGGCTTGAGTGATTATTCTTACTGAAACATCCGCCCATTCTTTTCTCAACAGATCACAAAAAGGAAAAATCAAGATTGGAAGTTTTCAACGGGATCTCTTCAAAACTATTAACAGAATATAATCTTAAAAATATAAAATAAAATATTACAGATGAGAAAATTCTTGAAATTTAAGCAAAACCTAAATCAGATTTCACTTATCAAGTTGACAAAGGTCTCACGAGGCTCATGTATGTTGACTTGCGGATCTGTCGTAGATGAAAGCTCAATTTGTTCTGTTGTCCAAAAGAAAACGTGTTTCTTTCGCTACAATCCTAAAATTGGTATGGCCTACCATTTAAAAACAAAGTAAAGAATTTTTCGCAATGTCTTCTTAGGCATTGTTGTCAACCCGGGGTGCCTAACCCAAAAAAGAAATGATATATTTTCTTTATGTAATAATTAAGAAAAAATATTTTCTTAAATTAAGTTCACCAATAAATTCTATGGTAAAATAAAGCAAGAAAAAAAAATATATTAGCCCCCCGTTTGTTTCTCATTATTTGCTTATTAAAATAAACAATATGACCGTTATCCATCATATCAAGCTATCATATTTGACTTTTTATCTCTTGTGTGTAGTCTATAACGGTTAAATTTTTCATTCTCATTTTTACATTAATGTGTACGGTATATGAGTAAAAAAAATTCATAGACAACAAAATAATAGTAATTTAATTGTAAGAATGATTAGTTTTAAAAATACATATAGTGATAAATTTAATTTATAAACTAGTCGATGTACGTGCGTTGCACGATTATTGTATTTAATGTGTCTTTATTAACGTGATGTAGAGATTTTAGTTTTCTTGACTAATTATACTTTTGAAGTTTGAATTAAATTTTTTGGCATGAATTTTTTCCGCCAGTTAGTAAAAATTAGATTTAAAATTGTGGAAATATAAGTAAAAGTTAATTTTAGTAAAAGATAAAATTGTAAGAATATAAGTAAAAGATTTAAAATTAGATTTTTTGGCACTGCTTTCATGCGGGGACTCCCCGTAAGACAGTCCCCCGCACCAATTTCGTGCGGAGTCCCTGTACAGTCATTTCTACCCCCATTACCTTGCTTCCTCTCTCTTTCTTACTGTATTGAGGGTGAATATCAAAGGGCTGTAAAGGGGAGAGAGTTGGTGTACGAAGGAAAGAATGGAGTGGGCGTAAAATTAGAATTTATTAGTGAGGGTTAAATCATTCAAATCAATTGCTTTGGATTCACATTTTAACATGTTTAAATTCTGAAAATCTTGATTTTTATTTTCATAATTCAGTATAAATTATCTGATCTGTCACTGAGACAACTGAGTTTTGAGAAAAATCCGAAACCTCACAGATTCTCTCCCGTTTATTTCTCACTTTAATGGGTTTTAGTAATCTTGCTAAATTATGAGTGGTATACTTGATTCCATATATCTTGTGTAATCTATTGAATGGAGATTTAGTTCCTTAAATTCTTAATAAATCTTACATCTGGCATCTGGGTTCATTTCAAAACCCTCAGATTCTTTGTTATTTTTCAAATTTTGTGTATCTTCAAGAATATGTTAGATGATATGGTGGATGGTTTGCCATATATAATATTCCATTTGGGTTCTCCTTTAAATTTCTAGATTTATATTTAAGCTTAAAGGGAAAATGGGTAGAGAAGAAACATGAATTTGAGTAGTTGTACTGGTGGTGGCGGCGGTGGTAGATCGAAAAAGGAGAAGCAAAAAAAGTTCCACGAAGAGGATTAGGTGTGGCTCAATTGGAAAAGATTAGATCAGAAAAACAAAAAAATGATGCAACATTAATATCAGCTAATCTTTTGGCCAAATCAATTGTTTCACTTTCTTCAAATTCAACCCCTTTAGCCCTACCATACGAAGAGATTAATCACAGAAAAAAACAAGAGAAGAATTGAAGAAGAAGCGAGAAAAGAAAATACTGATGATGAAGAAGAAAGCTTGTGTCTGGATTTGCGTGGGGAAATGGCTTCACCGTCCTTTTGAGTAAGAAAAAATGGGTTTGACTGATATCTGATTTCTACAAGGAAATCACTATTTAGCTACAATAGAAGTATGAACACTACAGTTAATTTTATTCATCTTTCTATAAGTAGTTAGAAACTGCCATCATTAAATAAAGCAATTTAAGTCAGTGATTAAATGTTAACTTCAAAAATATTGCAGTGATTAAATATGAGTTTAAAAAAGAATTTAAGGTTTGAAAAAATTTGAAATTTGCAATTTGCAATATTAAAAGAATAAATAAATTTTATAAATTTGATATGTTGACACAAATATAGTCTATAAATTAAGATGTTGACACAAATATAGTCTATAAATTAAGTAGTAGAAATAGTGCTATTAAATTTTAATGTTAGTAGTGAAATAAATTTATCTAACATTAGTGTTTTAAATAAAAGGATGTCGTATAAACACTAGTTACCTAAATAATTTTTATGTTAGTAACTCGTTAAAAACAAAAAAGTAAAAAAAATAAAATATTAAATATTGACCTCAAAAAATGTTGTAACAGAATCTTCGCCACGTCCCCTTCACGTGGACACCACCAGCACACAGAACATCCCGTTAGGAGGCAACGGTCGTCGATCTAGAAAAATGTCCGACGATCGTTTGCACTCCAACGATCCAGTCCATGGCCAGAAAAATATATACATAGAGTGCAAGAGTTGGGAGAGGGGGTTTGGCTAGGATTTTGAAATCATACCTCAAATGAAATGGAGCCACATATATATAGAAAATGGAGATGGACCTCGAGGCTAATGGGCTGAGTCCAAGCCAAGTCCAATAGAAAGGCTCAATATGAAATATTTTATAGGTATATCATTAAATACTAAATATTAATTTTAAATAATGAGGTGTATTTAAAAAATTATAAAATCAGGTAAATGTGAAATATCAAATATTAATTTTTAATGTAAAATAAATATATTTGAAAAAATTGTAAAAGAGCGTTTTTTAAAAATTGTAAACATAAGTATAACAATAAAGAACCAAATAGTACAATTGGACCCACTTATTAGTCTTTAATTCTTTACATTTTTCAGTTATTTATTTCCTTCAACAGTTTGATCCTTTTAGGTAGATAAATCTTTGCAAGTTCATCTTAAACAACACAACCCTCTAAACTTTTGTTCAGTCACTACAGCCGCCACGAACTTTCGTTATATCTTACCATGTTTATGTAGAAAACTACCGGGCTATAATAATTCGATTGTGCTATACATACATATTGAAGATTCTGTTAGTTATTACTTATTAGTTGGTTAGCTAGTTGATTATTAGTTGGTCAGTTAGTTAGTTGCACTGTTAGATTGTTGCCAGCTGTATACCCTTGTAGACCATTTATATAGAGTCTGTAAATCATTTACAGTGACGTTGAATGAAATAATTTTCTTCTTTTACAACTCAGCTCTCAAGTCTAACATGGTATTAAAGCATTTTTTTTCCTTCATTCACTACTTCGTCTCCTTCATAGATCTAATCAATATCTATTGTTTCACACAATCCTAATCTGGATCCTTCACAATAGGAATCGCAATATGAGTTAAGGTCACCAGTGAACAAATCTGCCATTGATGATCCTTTTGTGTCCGTACTTCCTACACCACTAAATAGCCTCGAATTGGTATTGGTTTCTCAGTAGCTCACCGGAGATAACTATGCCTACTGAAGTCGTGAAATGACTATTGCACTATCGGTGAAGAATAAGGTTGGTTTTGTGGTGCTAATACTGATCTAATCAATTCATGGATTAGAAACAACAATATTGTCATTTCATGGATCTTATATTCCATTTCGGAGGACATTTCTGCGAGTGTCATTTATGCAACTTCAGCATATGAAATTTGGAATGATTGGAAAGACAGATTCATCAGAAGAACAGACCTCAAATTTTTCAATTAAGGAGAGAGCTAATGAATTTGGCTTAAGATCAAGACAATGTCAATGTTTATTTCACTAAGCTCAAAATGATTCGGGAAGAACTGAGTAATTACCGTCCTAGTTGTAATTGTGGAAAGTGCACATAATGTCATTTCTCATGGGACTAAACGATTCCTTTTCTCAGGTCAGGGGAGAAATATTGCTTTCAAATCCATTATCTCCAATTAATAAAGTATTTGCTCTAATCGCGTAAGAGGAGAACCAGAGGAAAATAAGTACACAGATTAGTGCTGGGAATGATTTGACTGAAGCTGCTGCGTTTGCATTTAAAGATGACAATAGAAGGTCAGTAAATGGCACTCACAACATGAACTCGAGGTCTGGACCTAATGGAAATGTAAGAAGAAGGAAAGGCCCTATTGCTCACACTATAAATACCATGGCCGTTTCCATTGATAAGTGCTATAAAGTCCATGGTTATCCACCTAGATATAAGAAAGTCAAGGGATTCCTCTAGATCAAATATTGTCAATCAGATTTCTGCTTCAATTAATGGTGAAAATGAAGGCAAGATAATTGACCAACAAGCTGGATTTGGAAACTTTGTCCACAACTTAAATTCAAACCAGTATCAACAGCTAATGTCTATGTTGTCTACTTGTTTGGCTTCAAATACCAGCATCAATGCTACTAATCAGCACGACAACAGTCTCAATTCATATGTGGCACGAACATCTTACTCTATAACAGTAGATCGTATCTTTTCATCCAAAAAATTTTGGATAGTTGATTTTTTGGATAGTTGACTCTGAAGAAACCAAGCATGTATGCTCACTTGCTATAACATTCATGTCAATGCTAATAATTCATAATTCCACTGTCACATTGCCAAATCATACACAAATCCCAGTTAGGCTGTGTGATGATGTAAAGTTGAACTCACACATTGTACTGCATGATGTCCTATTTGTGCCTCAGTTCAAGTTCAATTTGTTTTCTGTGAGTGCTTTAACACTTGGATCACAATTCACTGTGAGTTTTTTTTCAAGATCATTTCACCATCCAGGACATCAAGACCAGGAATATGATTGGAAAGGGTGATCGTTTGGGGGACTTATATGTTCTTGACACCAATGTTCTAAATTCAATTTCAAATTTATATGTAAGTAATGTTTCAGCACATGTTTGGCACAATAGACTAGGACATCTCTCTTTTAAACGGTTGGATTGTTTGAAGGATCAATTGTTTTGTGATATTACAAAGTTTAATAAACACATTCTTTGCTACATTTGCCCCTTAGCTAAGCAAAGACAATCTTTTGATTCAAATAATCATCTCTCAGAC